AAAAGACGGGAAGTATCGATAATATTCTATTTTACTCGATGCTTTTATATCTTATAATACCTCTGAAGACCTCTCTTTTGTAAATGTTGAAAGTATACGAAGAGATCGATCGAGGCCAGCAATTCGATATTCCACTCTCGCTCCTCGATCGTAAAACAATACAAACCTCCAACTTATTCCAATCTTCTCTGCCCAACCTTCATCTCTCTAACTTTAATCCAATCTTAACGAAACCGTATATCCAAACCGTGTCCAAGAGGCTCGACGAAATGGTCCTCGAAATTTCTCCCCGAAAACGTAAATCGACGTGGAGGTGGAGGAACGCAAGCTCGCTTTATGCTTTCTCCTCGTTAATTTCCCCTCCCCCTTCGAGACAGGGCTCCCTCCAGTGAGTAAAGGAATCCACAAGCGTGCTACGCGAGTTTAATTACGCCATCTTCGCCATCCGTGGTGAACGGGATTCGCCATATTTTCACGGGTTGGCGAGTTTCACCAACCGTGTTTTCAGTCCACCACGGAAACGAAGGAGCTTCCTTCGAGGAAGATGGAATTCATCCCGCTCGAAATTAGACGGCGCGAATGAATATTCCTCGAGTTATTCAACGGGTAATTATTATTGCCGCGTTATCGCATCTATCTGAATGAAGAGTCGCACGATGAATAATAATAATCCGCTGTTGCCACCTCGATTGCTGCGGTGCCGCCATTTTGTTTCCATTCTGGAAAATTGGACGACGCACGGTGGAGGAGAAAAAAACCCCCTTTTCGAGTCTCCTCTCGAAGTGAAAATAATTTTGTACAAATAATTGATTGAACGTTTGGTTATACACTGTGTGATATTTTTTTTAATTAATAATAGTTTTAAAGAGGTCGATCTCCGAATTGAGAAATAAAATTATTACTTGCAATTTTGCTATTTTTTAAATCTCATTAATTTCTGATCGAAGTAAATATTTGATTTTATCTACGTTATTTAAAAGGGTTGGTCCTTTTTGAAACGTGCTCGAGATTTCGTTCGATGGAAAAAAAAAAAGATGAAGCGGTTTCGAAGAATATCAGATCGAAGCTACGTGAATTTCACAAGACGATGGTTTTTAAGAGGAATCGCGACCGAACTTGTACCATCGTATGATCCGCCTGAAATTAATTTTTACTAGAGAGCTTATCTAAAAATACCCGTGTCGAGCGATAAAATATTTTCCTCGGATTCATCTTCGCGGTTTTACCGGCTTCTTTTGCGGAAAACGGAGCGTTATAAAACTGTTTATGCGCAATCAAGCAGGGATAGCTGCCTCCTTATCGCCGGCTGGTGCAACAAGGTAAATCAATAAGAACATCGAGTGGACAAGACAAACTGATAATGAACAAGTTTAGGCTCTCAGCCCGACAAGCTGACGATACCTGCGTGATAAAGATGGGATAGGACGAGATACGTTAGGGAAAGTATGGACGAATGCTATACGATCTCGCTTGTGACCATTCGGATTAGATGGACCTCGTAACTTGCCATCGGATGATAGACTTCGATGCGGTATATGGACTGGCCTAACATGGAACAGCCGTTAGTTACTTTAAGGTGAAGCGGATTACAACGGAATTGGATTACAATAATTGTTTAGAAAAAAGAAAAAAAATATGCTTTACGAGAGAAAGTGTAAGAGGAACGATTGCTGATGGTTTATTTGGGATAAATAAAAAAAGTGTACGAAAATTATTATATTGTCGCAGATTGTTTTCCACGCGATTTTCATTCAAAAAGATATTAGGTTGGAAAGAAAGTTCTTACGGTTTTTGTTATTTTGATTTTAAATGCTTTATTCTCGATTAAATTTGGCGTTAAATTATATTGATTTTATAATTTTATAGGGCATTTTTCGTCTTGTGATATTAAATTTTATTTTTAGTTTCTCTTCTGATTTCTTAGGGTGTTGAAAATATAATGGACATAAAGAAGCAGATTCGAATAATTTTCCTATCCCAGTTGAAACTAGAAAGCTGCGAGGTTTGGTTCTAGCGAACGAATTGCACGATGGTGGTTTAAAAAATTTCGAAGCGGTTACGAGAGCCTCGAAGACGAGTTTGGAGTCGCCTCCAGAATTTTATTCAACCGGAATAACAAAACTTGTTTCTCGTTGGCAAAAGTGCATCGATCTTTATTTCGATTAATAAAATTTTGTTTGAGCTGAGATATGTGCGTTTGAATTTAATAGTTAAAAACCGCAAGAACTTTCTTTCCAACCTAATATAATCGATTGTTACTGTGAGCGTTTTGTATATTATTACGTGATTACAGTTTCGTTAACACAAATGTTGAGAGTTTGTCGTGAGAATTGATACAAACGATATAATTATATTCTTAACTTGTTGTTCCAGGATAAATTGAATCTTGCAAATAAAAACTTTAGAGCGATAAAGGTAACGAGAATATTTTTCCTAGCTCTTCGAGAGATATGAAGATGTTGTGCTAATATGCATAACTAGTAAGTAATGATAATCCAAGATGTAAATCTTGCTCAAACACTGCGTGGAGAACTGCGAGACAAGATCTACTAATTACCATTAACAGATTCGATGTACAAAGAAACGTAAAACGTTTTAAGTAAACTGTTAACTCGAGTAAAGAGACTGCTACATTAGTAAATTAAATTTCTCCATTATCCAGTATTAGTAGTTCATTATTAAAAATTCATATTAAAAAGAAAATATATATATCCATTAGAAAATAACTGAAACGGAGAATATTTTAATAAAAAAGTGTCTACTTAATAATTTATAAGAGGAGAAGATTGAATTACATAGAAATAATCAGTTTGATGAACGCATAATTTTCTTCACGCATTGTAATCGCACATTGGGTGTGATTGTATTCAACCAACGGCAGGATTAATTAGAACTGGGATTAAAGTTTAAGCCTTAACCTTATAAAGGGGAATGAAGAAGAAGCGTAATCTCTGTCTTGGGTTTATTCATTAGCATGGCAACCGGTCGCCCTCGATAGCGGGTAAATTAACGTAATCGCAACAATAACACGGCTGTTAAGTCTCCTCTTACCTCGTTACGGACGGTTATAACCACGCCTCGAGAAAAAATATATACAACTGCGAGCTTACCACGCTTCGTAGATTCGTGGTAACAAAGTGTAACGATCGAATCGTCGTCGTCGAGTTTTTTTCCTTCCACTGGTGAAAAATATCCGTTTTCACCAATATTTTTCTCCCGTATAAATCAAGACGATGCGGAGGATCCTTCCTCTGCATACGATTATTATACTCCTTCGTATCTACTTTGCATATCTATATCGAACAGATTAATCTTTCTCTCGAGAGAAAAATGGAACCAGAAGAACGGGGGGAGCAAAGTTTTTCTTCGTGTTTTTCTTTTTTTTTTTTTTTTTTTTTTTTTTTTTTTGTAGAAAATCGTTCAACTGGTTTCCCGTCTTATAAATGGAAATGGCGTAATAAAATATCGAGTGAAAATGATAATTTGAAATATTTAATGTCAATGGAAAAATTAGTATATAATTCTCAATGCTCGAAATGGAAATATATATGCTCTTAATTTCTCTCTTATTAGAAATTTTGTTTCATTTTTCTCCCCCTTCATTTGATACGACATATATAAATTATCTTACACTCTATAAAATAAAGATTTTAAAAACGATGATCAAAGATCGAGTCATATCTCTCGTTTTAGAAATTATTTCCAGTATTAGAAATTTTGTTTCATTTTTCTTTTCTTCTCTTCATTCGATAAATTATCTTACACTCTATAAAATAAAAATGTCGATTTTAAAAACGATCTCTTCTCGAATAATTCTCAATGCTCGAAATGGAAATACAATACTCTTAATTACTCTTAATACTCTAATTAGAAATTTTGTTTCATTTTTCTTCTCCTCCCTTCATTCGATAAATTATCTTACACTCTATAAAATAAAGATTTTAAAAACGATGATCAAAGATCGATATCGAGCCATATTTCTCGCTTTAGAAATTATTTCCCGTATTAGAAATTTTGTTTCATTTTTCTTCTCTTCTCTTCATTCGATAAATTATCTTACATTCTATAAAATAAAAATGTCGATTTTAAAAACGATGATCTCGAATAATTCTCAATGCTCGAAATGGAAATACAATACTCTTAATATTCTCGTATTAGAAATTTTGTTTCACATTCCCCTCTTCATTCGAATATATATTAAATTATCTTACACTCTATAAAATAAAGACGCGTGTGTAATTTAAAAAAAAAAAAAAAAAAAAAAAACGATATTCAAAAGTCGATATCGACATCACGAACGTCGATATCGATATCGTCTCGAATATCTGGAATCGTTTATCCGTGAATCGATACCACTATAAGGATGGGCCGTTATCAAATCCGAGCAGTGGCTCGGAAAATAGCAGATCGCGAAAATACGATCCTCGGGGGGGTAACGTGCTCGACGTCCTCCTCCTCGTTCTTACCTCGGAGCGAGGCCGTGCCATGCAAGGATGGTGAGAAACCGTTCCTCGTGAACTTCTTAAAACGAACGAGCCGTGTGATTGGATTGATAATCTATGGGGGACCCCATGGGGCATCAAATATAATGGCTTAATTCATGTAACGGACGCAAGAAGCGATCCGGCGGTACCGGTATCGAAACCCACCACTATCCACACGCCGTGATAAAACCGCAATGGTGTCTTGCCAAAACGTTACCGTTACGTTTTCCTCAACAATCGATCAGGTTCTTGTCCTTTGCGCGTTGTCCTCGTCTAAAATATAAAAATATCCGGCGAGACGACACGCCTCTTTTTAATCGATCCGTTCGAGGATCAAGAAACAAAGGATCGTTCTTCGATTGTGTATCGATTTTGCTAGTCAAGGTTTAAATTAAATCAAGGCGATTGATCGATATTATTATTTCTTTTGGAAGCTAGCTGTAGGGGACAGCTTGTAAAATGTGTTTGTCTTTAAACTCTTAAAACTTCTAAGAGGAAGTTTTTTTTTTTTTTTAGAAACAGAGATAAAAGTCGAGAGAATATCGACAAGCATTTGAGGTCGACTTCAAACACGAGAGGATGAAACGACGTGCCATTGAAAGCTAGTATGTATTATTTTTTCTTCTTCTTCTTCTTCTTCTTCTAAACGTTTTTTTCCCGGTAGACGATAGATAATCATTAACGGGAGGCACGGGCTCGTGGTTCACGGAACGGCGCAAAAATAATCGTTTGGCTTCTTCTAATCCTCGCCTGTAAACGTGCCGTCATTTGAATAATATACACGTAACCATTTACACGATCGTTCCCTATCCCTCCCCTCCCTCCCTCGCTGAAATTCTACGCGCCACGCTCTTCCACACTCTTCGCGTTTAAACTTCATTTCCTTCGATCGAACGAGTCGATGACTCATTTTCCTTGCTAACGACTTCTTCCCATTTTTTCCTCCGTCCAATAAACGAAAAAAAAAAAAAACTTAAAGATACATCGCGAAACATCGATCCAAACCGTTTAATCGGAAATGACGCACAAATAATCGTCATGACGTATAACGTTATGAGATCATTCCCAATTTTACCATCCGTGTTCGGCTAACACCGTGTACGATTCGAAGAAAAATCTCTGGTCGACAAAACGAATCGCTTCCGTTCCCGGTTGCGAAGAACACGCTCAGGCCGTTCTCCTCGACCTTCCGCTACTTCGTCTCTCTCTTTCTCTCGTGTCTCTACGAGAATCTTTCGAGAAGATTCGTATCTCCGCGATCCTTTCTCGAACGTAACCGCAGACGTTCATAAATACGTGGCTGGAAGCGTGCGCATCGAGATTCGCGGTTGCGCAAGATTCGCGGGCGCAGCGCCACCGTCGGGGCCCCCGACCGACGCACGCACGCACGCACGCACGCACGCGAATCGGTGGAGCCGATGGAAAGATGGATGCGCGGCGAACGAATCGGTCAAAGGAGCGTGTTTCCACGATGATTTGGCGCGCCTCGAGCGGAAAAACTGTTGGCAATTTCGCTCGAAGGGGGAATCGTGTTCAATCGTAATCACGTTTCACATCGCGATTCTTCCTTCGGGGTCCCTGAACTCCTTTCCGGGCCGATCGATACGAGGCGAGGAAAATCGGCATCGGGGAGGGAATTTCTCATTTGTCCGGGAATCCCCTTTGGCGGGGAGCGACCGCAACGGGAGGAAGCGATCGAATCAACGGGTCTCACGATTCGCGGGAATGCGAATGTATATATATATATATATATATTTGTTCCGTTTTCCTCCGCTTTTTCATTCTCGCTTCCGCTTCTTACCGAATCCTCTTCTCTCGTTCGGAAAGGAATTGTCGAATCAAGCCCCTCTCGCTCTTCACTTTTTTTAGTTTTTCAAAATTTATTTATCTCTTTCCTTCCTTTCGTTTTCTTCTATTTCGTCCATTTCCAAGTTGTTGCGAAAATATATCTGTAAAAAGACAGGTTATTAAAGCTGACGTTTCCTCGTAGAAGCGCTATTTGTTTATCAAGGAATAGCATATTTCGCGATTTCCTTCTAGTGGCTTTTTTTAATTTTTCAAAATTTATTTATCTCTTTCCTTCCTTTCGTCTTCTATTTCGTCCATTTCCAAGTTGTTGCGAAAATATATCTGTAAAAAGACAGGTTATTAAGCTGACGTTTCCTCGTAGAAGCGTAGAAGAACTGTTTCTTTGTCAAGGAATGGCATATTTCTTTTTCTTTTAATGAAATTCGAGGATGATTATATATAAATCGTGTGTATATAAATTTTCATCCTTGATTTATAGTATAGTTTGATTTGCAATTGGTGGAATCGAAGGATTGGAGGATGTTTGGGTTTCTTGTCTTCGTTTCTTCGAATTTTGTTCGTTAACGATTAAATTAATAATTAAAATCTAAATTTGGAATTGTTAAAATTGTGAGACTAGAGAGAGACTAGGAAACGAATTCGAGATTAAATGAAACAAGTGTACCATCCTTCTTGCGGAATTATAATTAAACGACAGTAAAAGAGTTTCCATTTCGTCAATTTATGTACGCGTTGTAAATAAATGCTGCAATAATTTTTTAAATAGTTCGAAAATTCAATCTAACACGATCTCGAGCTTGACTTTGAAATTATTTCGACTTTTTTCTTTCCAAATCTCATCCTAATCTCAATTTCTTTCGCTTGGTCAAATATTATTTTCATTAATAATTATAGCTCTCTCGTGATCATCAAAGATAATACAACTGTGAGGCCACGCGAAGAACGAAACGAAAAATGTGGAAAAAAAAGAAACTCTGCAAAGAGAAAGTTCGAAAAGGAGTACAAATACGAATAAATTTCAGAAGACGAAGTTCAACCATCATACGACCGATGATAATCGCTCAATTACCGCGTTAAGTATTCTGTCCGATGATATAATCGATTGTGAAAATCCCAACAATACGTGGAACAATGAATAAAGTTGTTCATAACCAGCGATACACAGGCATTCGATTATCTGCATATAAAACAGTAATCTAATCTGAATTTAAAATAAGCCTACGCCACAACGCGCAATTTGAAAAGAATAATTATCTTCACATTCGGATAACCATCTAAATACACAACCTGTAATATCACACAATAATTTCACGCGCCACAAATTTTTTTTATTAAATATATATATATCGTTTAACGAATATTTCATTTCAATTTCATTATAAGATAAACGTAATTAACTAATCAAGGATATTCGATGAGAAATCGTGCACCTATCATTTTTCTCAATTTTCGACAGATTAAATATACGATCTATAATATCACAATAATTTCACGCATCACAATTTTTTTATTAAATATATATATCGTTCAACGGCTATAAGATAAACGTAATTAACTAATCAAGGATATTCGATGAGAAATCGTGCACCTATCATTTTTCTCAATTTTCGACAGATTAAATATACGATCTATAATATCACAATAATTTCACGCGCCACAAATTTTTTTTATTAAATATATATATATCGTTTAACGAATATTTCATTTCAATTTCATTATAAGATAAACGTAATTAACTAATCAAGGATATTCGATGAGAAATCATGCACCTATCATTTTTCTCAATTTTCGACAGATTAAATATACAATCTATAATATCACAATAATTTCGCGCATCACAATTTTTTTATTAAATATATATATCGTTCAACGGCTATAAGATAAACGTAATTAACTAATCAAGGATATTCGATGAGAAATCGTGCACCTATCATTTTTCTCAATTTTCGACAGATTAAATATAGAATCTATAATATCACAATAATTTCGCGCATCACAATTTTTTTATTAAATATATATATCGTTCAACGGCTATAAGATAAACATAATAACTAATCAAGGATATTCGATGAGAAATCGTGCACCTATCATTTTTCTCAATTTTCGACAGATTAAATATATAACCTATAATATCACAATAATTTCACGCATCACAAAGTTTAATTTTACATTTTTTTTATTAAATATATATATATATATATATATTTATTTATATGTCGAACTATTTCAACACGATTATGGCAATCAGATAATAAACTAATCAAAGATATTCGATGAGAAATCGTGCACCTATTATTTTTCTCAACTTTCGACAAAGTTAAATATACGATCTATAATATCACAATAACGCGTCACAAAGTTTAATTTTACATTTTTTTTATCAAATATATATATTTATTTATATATCGTTTAACGAACTATTTCAACACGACAATGAGATAATTAACTAATCAAGGATATTCGATGAGAAATCGTGCACCTCGTCATTTTTCTCGGCTTTCGACAGGTTAACAGTCCGTGATTATTAGAGGAAACAGGACAATAAGGGGAGCCAATTAGACGAAATTATACCAATTTCGAGGAATAATAGGCGAAGATTAGTTGGTCGCTTCGAGGAACGGAACAATGAACGCCACTGTGAGCCGCGATAAAACGCGGCCTGCACACTTGCCTTCTTGTATTCGCCGTTTTCGATCGTGAGCGGTTAAGGATGTGCGCGGTTAATGGTGGCCGGCCGCGAAAATGAATACGCGGTATTTAATCTTCTTTTCGCCGGGGGCTTGTAAACAAGAAAAAGCGGTGAAAGACGCGAGTTTGCTTCGCACGCATCTCAAACATTAACTGTTTGAACAACAGTCGGCGGTTGGTGTGAAAAGTGCCTGTAAACGCGATCGGCCAACACGTTTTTACACTTTGAGAATTTTTTCCCCCTCCTTTCTTCCTTTTCTTTTTTTTTTTTTTTTTTTTTTTTTTTCTTTTTTCCATCTCGTTGCGTCCAATTTTTTTTTCGATCTCTCCGATCAGAAATATTTTCGATCGAATTTTTTTCTTTCCCCCCTCCCCGATTATCGACATTAATTATTCGCGTTAATCGTTAATCGTTAATCGTTAATCGGAATTATTTTTTCCTTTGCGCAACTTTATCCGAGCTACAACCCATTTATATGCAAATCATTTGAAATTAAATTGGCCGAGTTGAAAATAGTAAAAGGACTTAACAGTGTAATCGATGCATTTTCAATCTTTCTTCTTGTAAAACAAACGCCCGATCCGAAATAGTAGATAAGTGGAACCCGGTTACCTCGGCCGAGGATACGATTCACCCAGCCGTGTATAATAACGCTGAATTATGTTGTTCGGTATAATTGTCAGGGGCGAAACCCGGCGGTTTAACGGTCATTAACCTTGCAAATTGCATTTGTCGTCGACTTGCAATTTGCACCTGTAAATACCTAAGGTAGGATATTCTGCTCCCGTGCCTCGACCTTATCGTTCCCGATCAAATTGCACCAGCCAATTTCCTATGATAAATCTCGCACTATCGATAACTATCGATCGTTGTATCCTGATGTAATCTCTCGCGAGATTAATTGGAAATTTCGTTCGAATTATTTCCTGGAGGAGAGGAAAAGTGACGATGACGAAGGTGAAGAATCTTTTCCCGTTTCTTATTTTTAGATTAGCCTTATCTGGATGGGAAGCGCAGCACCTCTTGGGGAAAAGATTTTGCAAGAATAACGCTCTTTTAAAATTTTCTTTTCCTCCTAGATCTCGGAATATCTTCGAATACGTATCTCTATATGAGGAAAACCAGTGGACTCGCGTGAAATCCAAATCAATCGATGGATGGAGCGCAACGATCTTCGAACAGTTCGAGGAAAAAGAAGAATGAAAAAAGAAGTAATGAATTACTGCGAGATAAAAGGTATCTAATGCAGCCAAATTACCGAAACAGATCTCGAAATACATATATATATATTCCGTTTGAACACATCCAGGACTCCGAGATCAGATTGCGAAATCCTGTAAACTCATCAACTCTTTTAAAATTTTCTTTTCAACCACATCTCCGAATACCTTCGAATACGTATCTCTGTATGAAGAAAACCAGTAGACTCGCGTGAAATCCAAATCAATCGATGGATGGAGCGCAACGATCTTCGAACAGTTCGAGGAAAAAGAAGAATGAAAAAAGAAGTAATGAATTACTGAGAGATAAAAGGTATCTAATGCAGCCAAATTACTGAAACAGATCTCGAAATATATATATATATATATTTGAACACATTCAGGACTACCTCCAAGACTCGGTTGTGAAATCCATCAACCCGTAATTACGAGGTCGTGAGATGTTGAACTTCGCGAAGTGGAGAGTCGTGGGACCAGTGAAACACCCCACAGGCCATGAGATTTCGAGATATGTATATCATTTTGAGGATGCGGTGTAGCAGGCCACGATGGGGGAATCACGGAACCATAAGTCGTGAAGCAGAAGAGAAGCGACGAGGCACAATTTCGCGTGTCCATTTCCGACCTTCAACGATAACCCATCGTTAAGACCAGCTTGTGGAATGCGAGAATCGCGTCGAAAAGACGATTCTTGGGGATCGACTTGCAGGTATCCGAGGAATTTTCATTGACGACATTCCAGCGTCTCGAGGGAAGGGGTTGTTAAATAAACCTCGCGGAAGCTGGTAACGGATCTAGTAAGGAAACGAGGTTTCCCTTCCATCTCTTTTTTCTCTTATTTCGCTGCAACGAGCTTGCACTCTAACGACCGCTCTAACGAGATCCTACGAAGGGATCCCTTGCCCGTATGTTTTTAGGGTGAATAGGTGCGACGACCCGATCCCTGACCCAGGCCTTCAGCTTCTCGAGGATGGCGGTGGATCGGCTTTCGAACGTAAGCGGAATATTTCTTTGGAAAATATAGTTTATTATTAAGTATTAATATTTTAATATTATTTTTAATATTATTATTAAATGTAGTTTAGAAATTTTTTCTTGACTGGGCAGTGAAAACAATAAATAAAAATGTATTTAATTACGCGTAATTATCTGTTTACAAAACATTTGAAGTACGCGTATCGAAGAAAAACAAATAGATACCAACTATGAAATAACGGCTGACAACGTTGAATAACAAATAATACAAATAAAATTTCAGCGAACTTTAAATTCTATAACATTTTTAGCAACGATTACTTCGACGATTCTTTATATTGGTATCTATTCGAATAATTCTTTTTTTTCTTTTTTTGTAATAATTTTCTCTCTGGGATAAATTTTCTCGGAAAAGTGGAACAGAAAATTTTCGAATATTTTTTCGAAACCAAAAGGGGGGAATGTAAAATTTACGTAAAAATTTATCAGCTTGTTTAACAGCTTTCAATAGAATGGTTTACGCGTGCTCGCGCTTTCCCATCAACGAAAGTGCACGCGTGTACGTGTATTACATCCATAAAGTTTTAAAGAGTTAATTTCACTATCCTATACACGATCCTATTTAAGCACACTTAATCCATTTACTTTCAATCTCGCTGACAATATCTTGCTCGATACCACACCAATTACCATGAAGATTCACGATCGATACCGAACCGAACGAGACCCATTGTCTCTGCGCCGCATCATGACAAACGGGACCACGCGTTAAATTCTCATCACCGCTCGTTTCGGTTGATTTATTTTATGACCCGGCGAAATTTCCGTGATCGAACAACTCGGGTAAAAAGAAGAAAGAGCCAGAAGAGGGGGAGGAGGGGAGTACGCTATTCATAAAGATTAAACGGTATCCCCTCGTGTTGGTTATCGAACCAATATCGAGAACAATAAATATCGGGACGCTCGTCGTTATTAATAAAATCTAACTCACTATTTTTCGTAATTATAATAATAATTTAAATTTTCTATAACTTTTTTTTACCACTTTCTTGGTTACTTTTATTTTCATCAACGTTAGAAATAAAGGGTATTTGTTGAAATTTTGAGAACTTGAATAAAAATCTGCTTCACTTTTTTTTTCTTTTTCTTTTACTTACTTTATTTTGTCGTTATTTTGTGAATAATTCGTTCTATTTATCGTTCCAATTCATTCGTTCTTCGATAATAAGAAAAACTTGTGGCCATATTAAAACTCCGTTTAGGATCGATACAAAGCTGGAGGAAAGAAAATATTGTCTAATTAACGACACCTATAGTCGTTGGAAACGTCGCATGGACAATGAATGAAACTGTTTCCAATGATACAGTTTCGAGCAACGGTATTTCACGAACATCTATTCGCTTTTTTGCCGAGATTCCTTTTTTTTTCTTTTTTTTTTTATTGCTCTGCTCCACTTGCGCTCACCGATATTAAACGGATAATTACAGGGTACGCTTTTTTACGAGAATCGCCTCCAACGCTATTTTACACCTCCGTGTTTTTGTCGGGTGGACACCTTTCCGAATAACTGCTTACGCCGATCGTTTATTTCCTCTCTCCTTTCTTTCATTTATGTGATTAATAATTGTATCAGTTGGACGCAAGAAGAGATTTTTTCTTTTTTTTTTTTTTTTTATAGACGCTCTACAAATTTCATTGTTCTATCTTCGAAATCGATGAGATCGAAATCGTCATCCTTGAAAAACCATTCTTCTTGCATCCAACGGTATTGTCAATCGTTTCAAGCGATCAATTATTAAACTATAAACTATAAAAAAAAAAAGATATGCAAACTGATTCCAAAATATTCGGATATTTTCCACACTGTATTAAATTTATCATCGTGTTTTCTACGAGATGAGTAAAATATCGGCAGAAATTTTTCTTCCTTCTCCCCGCTATGTATATACAAGTACAAGGGCAATATCTTTGAAACGATAAAAAACGTAACCCTCCCTCCTTCCCTCATTGTCAGCTTCGAATATAATACGGGCGACTACATAAATAACGCGAAACCTACCTACCTACCTAAAACGCGTTTAAAATTCTCCTATCGTCAAGCAGTTTCGCGCAGAAATATATAACACCATCCTTGCCTTGTGAAATATGGGTGGACAGATATTAAGGAACATCCCTCGATCCTCCCTCCCTCCCTTCCTCCCTTCCCTCCCCTCCCTCGCGAGCGCACAATGCACTCCGTACTGTGAACAGGGATGAGCGAAAGAACGTTCGCGGCCAAATCGAGCGAAAAAAGAAACGTTCCCTTCCCCCTCCTTCCCTCCTTTATCCAATACCTATCGATAACCGATAATATTCCTCCCTTTAACGTCAAATAGAAGGAGAACGTTCGTTCGTAAGACGGGCGAGAAAAAAAAAAAAAAATTGGCTGAAAAAGCGTACAGGAGGAGATATACGTTCGACGTTTTACCGGTGAAATTTTAATTAAATCCTTGGATCGCGCTTCCGTGAAGAGAGAAAGAGAGAAAGAGGGGAGAAGGGTCAGAGATCTTGGCAGAAAGGCCTCCACTCGAAACACGTCACTCGCACACAGAGATTGCGGGAAATCTCTGAGGCCGGGCCTTTTACCTTCGTAATGTCCCGGTGGTGGTGGTGGTGGTGGTTGATTGTTGAACGAGACGAGTTCGAGAGAGGAGGGAGAGAGGGAGGGAGAGAGAGAGGAGCCGTTTCCCTCGTCACGGTCGACATGCACAAAGGCTTAAACGGTAACAGAGCGGAAACGCGTCGAAATCAAACGGCAAGCTGAAACGGGGGGAAGGAAAGGGGAGGGAGGGAGGAGGGGTGGCGCGAGAGAGCAATTGGAAAAACGAGCGAGTTTGGGCAGGCCTCCCGGACGCCTTCTCGAGGATCCACTTCGCGTCAAAGGGTCCGCTTTTCTTCCATCCTCTCTCCCCCATATTCGGTAATCAAACCTTCGCCCCCTACTCCTCTGTAAACAGAATCACCCTCTCTGAGAGACGAATCAATTTCGTCGGCGGTGGAACATAGGGAGAAAGAAAGTGCAAGGGAGGGGATTGTGCTTGGAATCGAACTTGAACTCGTTCAAGCCGCGAAACGCACGTGGAACGCAGGCAATATGGATCCTCGAGGGTGGATAACGCTCCGTTTATGGGGGCGCGTTTCAGACATGTGGGTCGATGGGTAATATCGATGGTTAAAGTGATTAGTGAAATTGTCGATCTTGGAGGGAGATGTTTAAGAGAGATGTTTACGAGTCTTATTTGTAATTGAAGAGTAGTTGGTAATTTTAAATGTAACGATAATACAACATTTTATATTATTGTTCATTTGTTGTTAAAACATATATATATATTTGATGGAAGAAATGAAAATTAGTCGATATTGGACAATTCTGCCCTAAGTATCTTCATTTTTATTTATTAAACTTTTGATAAAATTTATATATACGATTCTACGATCGAATAAAAGACTATCGATTAAGAATCAGATCAGATTTTAGGCATCAGATTTTAGGGGAATTCGTCACGTATGAATTGACGTCTTAAGAAATGTACGAATCTCATATTTATAATTAGAGAAGAATCGTCCATTTTAAATATAATATAACAATAATGTAACATTTTATGTTTAATTGTTGTCAAAAAATATATATAATAATATATTTGATAGAAGAAATGAAAATTAGTTAATGTTGGACAATTCTCCCCTTTCTTCATTTTTAAACTTTTGATAAAATTCCAATACGACTCTACGATCGAATTGATTAAGAAATATTACGAACCTTGTATTTATAATTAAAGTAGAATTGTCCATTTTAAATATATAGCATAACAATAATGTAACATTTTACGTTTAATTGTTGTTAAAAAAAATATATATATATATTTGATAGAAGAAATGAAAATTAGTTAATGTTGGACAATTCTACTCTTTCTTCATTTTTAAACTTTTGATAAAATTCCAATACATATTATTGATAACAATAATACAACATTTTTAATTCTTGTTAAAAAAAATATATATATATATGATGAAAGAAATGAAAATTAATTAATGTTGGATATTTCTCCCTTTTCTTCATTTTTAAACTTTTGATAATATTTCAATACGATTCTACGATCGAATTGATGCCTTAAGAAATGTTACGAATCTCGTATTTATAATTAGAGAAGAATCGTCTATTTTAAATATAATATAACAATAATGTAACATTTTATGTTTAATTGTTGTCAAAAAATATATATATATTTGGTAAAAGAAATGAAAATTAGTTAATATTGGACAATTCTCCCCTTTCTTCATTTTTAAACTTTCGATAAAATTTCAATACGACTCTACGATCGAGTGGCTGGCTACATGAGATTGGCGATCGGTTAGGAATGCGTCGAATTTCAGGGGAATTCGTCACGTATTAATTGCAGAATGTACTCGTTAATTCCATCGATCGAAATGGATTAATTCCGTCCGTCTGCTCTTGCAACGATGCGTATTCTCCGAACATGGGATGAAAGCGTTTGGAAACCTCGATCGTTCGATTCGCGTGATTTATGCGGTTTCCAGCGCGGAATCGAGGGATTTGCGTGTGTTTCGATATACAATTTTTTTTTTTTTTTTTTTTTTATAGATGAAGAGATATTCAGGCTTGATTGCCATACATATGCAATTCGACAAGCGATGCGAAAAGTTAGTTTTAAACGAGGAAAAACGGACTACACATGGATACACGGAGAAAGTTTCACATCGTTCTTATTTCACCGGCCGACACGTCTCATTCTGTCACGTGTTTTTCCACTTCTCTTTCATATCCATATCTACGACGAAGCGAGAATACTTTGCTCGAGATGGTTCAGAGGAAAAAAAAAAAAAAAAAAAAAAAAACTTTTTTCCACCGGTTTACTTTTCAACGTCTTACCATATTCCAGTCTCTCGTAAATAACGGAGGAGGATCGTCATCTAGCCATCCCGAACGGAGAACGTTTGAAATTAGGTGTATTTATCCAGGTC